GAACACGGACCTTTGCTGGTCCGACCGCCAGGTGGCAGGCATGGGCTGCAGAAGATGGGTACCCTACAAACCTGCAGATCCAGTGGGCCCAGCCTCACCCCTACCCAGCCTCGGATCCTTCCCGAGGCCGCTCTGCCTCCTGGGCCAGGACAAGGACAGGAGTGTGCACTGGGCTCAGTGGCCGATGGCTTCAATGACCGATGACCAGTCACTGCCATCGCCAGTCCCCACCCCCGACTGACCAGATGAGCCCCTCTTTCTGAGTCTGGAAGGCACGGGGGGGGGCGGGGGGGGCACCACCCCTGTCCAGGCCCAGCCCCCCTCCCCCCAAATGGCAGAGACCTGCAGCCCCCGGGGCCAGGACAACCATCAGGGCCAGCGTCAAGGGCAAGGTCCGGCTGGGTAGCAGGGATGCCATAGCTGGGCCGGGAGCTGGAATGGATGCTGGCGGCTGGGGCTTCCGGAGGCAAGTGATGCCTTGCCCCTGGGGCTGCCGGTTTTGTCCTGGGGCGGGAGGGGCTGGACAGGAATCTTGTCCAACCTGCCCCTTGGGCTTTCCAGCCTGGGGGCGGTGGGGGGCGGCAGACAGGTTTTTCAGGATGGGGAGCGGCCCTCAGGCCCAGAGTAAGCATCTTGGTGGCTTGGTCAGCTGCAGATGGGGTGGTGGTGGTAACTAAGGTGGGGGAAGGGGTGGAAATCCCCCCCTTCTTCTGGGACCCACACCTGGAAGGGCACCCGTGGTTTTGCTGCCTGTGCGTCTGGAGCCCAGCCTGCGGAGGACGGCTCCCCTCACTGTGGGAGGTCTCCGAGGGCAGCGAGCTCTGAGGGTGCCCTGGGCTCAGGAAGAGGGGAGCAACTCCAGGGCTCCTGGCAGGCCTTGGCTGGGCAAGAATAGAGGCTGGTCGTGGGCCCCAGCGCCAAGGGCTCTAATCCTGGCCCGGCCAGCCTGGGTCAGTGGTTGAGCGTCAACCTATGAACCAGGAGGTCACAGTTCCATTCCCGGTCAGACGCAGGCCCAGGTTGCAGGCTGGATCCCCAGTGGGGGGCGTGCAGGAGGCAGCCCATCCATGATTCTCTCTCATCATTGATGTTTCTATCTCCCTCTCCCTCTCACCTCCTCTCTGAAATCAATAAAAGCATATTCTAAAACAGGGGGCTCTAATTCTGAGTGTTCCCTGCGGCCCAGCTCCTGCTGTGGGAGCTTATAGGGAGGTGGTGCTGGAAGTGTAAGGGGAGGGGAGCAGGGGGCGCCAGGGAAGGCTTCGGAGAGACCAGGGAGGCGGGCATGGACCAGTCCCACGGGTGGCGTGGACATGGGCAGCCATGCTCAGCAGCCTTTGTTGAACTGTTTGAGAAGAAAGAAGACAAAGGGACCTGGTAAGAGAAAATGAAGGCGAGTCGCCCCTCTGACTGCACCCGGACCCCTGAGGATGGAGCCCGCAACTCGGGCATGCGCCCTGGCTGGGAATCGAACTGTGACCTTCTGGCTCATAGGTCGATGCTGAGGGGGACAGAATGGTGAGCAGAGGGGAGCATTGGGGACGCAGGGCTGGAGGCTCCAACATTTGTCCTCCCGCGTCCTGGACAGTGGGGGGGCACTAGCTCCCCTTTGTAGATGTGGAAACTGTGGACACTGTCGGGGGGACGGAGACACCCACAGAAGCTGATGTGTCTGTCTATCCTCGCCTGAGGGTATGTTCTTATTGATTTTAGAGAGAGAAAGGGAGGAGAGGAGGAGAAACATCGATGCCAGAGAGAAACATTGAGCAGTTGACTCCCTGACCAGGGATGGAACCTGCAACCGGGGGATGTGTCCTGACTGGGAATCAAACCGGCAACCTTTTGGTCTATGGGACAACACTGCAACCCATGGAGCCAGGGCTTTCTGTATGTCCTTTTGCTGCATGAACCCTTCTGTCTCTCCCAGTCCCAGCGCAGTCAGGGTCCTGGCAGGAAAGCGAAGGACAGTGGGCTGTGCCCTTACTCTTGTGGCAGGGAGGGGTGGGGCACAGCCTGGGGTGCAAACAAGGGTGACAGTGAAGAGTGGGTCGGGGGACCTCAGACCAGTGCTCCTCCAAATTTAATGTGCATCTGCTCCAGGCATTTAAAAAATATATATATTTTTGTTGATTTCAGAGAGGATGGGAGAGGGAGGGAGAGAGAAACACCAGTGATGAGAGAGAATCATTGATCGGCTGCCTCTTACACACCCCACATTGGGGATGGAGCCCGCAACCCGGGCATGTGCTCTGGCTGGGAATCGAACCATGACCTTCTGGCTCACTCCTGAAGAATGGAATTGTTTTTCTCACACCTTGGCCTCTGTCCTCTTTTAGATCAGGTTCTACCATCGTTGTACAAACGGAAGGAGGATCTTTCTACCCTGAGCAGAGCTTCAGAGGGAGGAAACCGACTAGTTCTCAACCTGTGGGTCGCAACCTCTTTGGCTAGGCCTCTTGTTAAAATGCAGGTTCTGGTTCAGTGGGTCCGAGGTGAGGCCTGAAGTCCTGCATTTCTAATGAGCGTCCAGGTGACACTGGTGATGCCAGTCTGAGCGGCTCCCACTCGGAGTTGCTAGACTCTCTGTTGGCTTATGTCCCGGCAACTGAACTAGAAGGCGGGACTCCGGGGGAAGGGGACCTTCCTGGGGCTCTTCAAATCAGGGGTGTCCCTGAGCCAGGAGGACGCCTACTCTAAGGCTTGGGAAGTGTCTGTCTCCATCAGTCACAAACCAGGGAGCAGAAAGGGCAAGAAGTTGGGTTTATTGCAGGGTGGGTTGTGTTGGGCCCACTCCAAAGCCCCAGCCTCATCTGAAACTATGAGTGGGACAGAGTGGGGTAGGGGAGGCCAGAGCTTGGACCAGCATTTAAAGGGATAAGAGGGCCCTGTAGCTTTAAACCCGCCCTTTTAT